GTCCCGCCCTCGCCCACTGCACGCCGGGAACCGTAGTCCGCACGCTGCTCGAGTACGCCTGCGCGTTGCAGGATGCCTCAGTGGCCGCTGGGAGATGTAGTCCCACCTAGCTAAAAGCTTCCTTTCGCGTTCTCGCCTGCTGGAATGGAAAGTTGCCTGCCAGGCCTTTCTCCTGGAAAATGACAGGTTGAGCGCGCTGTAAGTCCAGGCCAGTCTCAAGGAATTCCTCAGCTGACCCACTTCCCTAGGGTGCCCAGGAACTGGTTTACTCCTTATTTGAAATCTCATGAAATACTTTTTTGGGGGAATGTTTTCAGGAGAGGCCAGTCCTTGGAAAAAGATAGCATGCTGAGAAACAACAAAAAAATAATTGTTCAAAAACAAAGGATGTTGGTGTATGTAGTTTTATATCGGCGAGATCATAAGCAAGCGGGGGATCATTGGCTATGATGTTTGAACGCATCTGATTATATCTCATTTACTATTTCTGTATTCTTGGACCATGTGTGATGAGATTAATATCTCAATAAAATAGCTAATATGCGGAAAAGAAAAAAAAACAACAAAGGATAATTTCTCCGAAGCCAGAGAGCGCTTCCCCAACAGCCTTCTTCCATATCAGTTTTTACATTAACAAAACAGTTGCCATGGAATTGAATCCCATTCATGGCTATTCCATATATGCCAAGAAGAACTCTGTTCTCTAAGGGTTTTAATGACTGACTCTTCAGAAGTAGTTGTCAGATGCTGCTTTTGAGGTGTCTCTGGGTGGACTAGGAAGCTCTGGTGACCTACTAGTAAGAAGTGCTATCAACCCAAATTCACGCAGATAAAAGAAAGATAGGCTGCCTCCTTGCAATTTACAGCCTCTGAAAACCTACTGGAGGGTCAACTAGCCCATAAGCCAATTTCAACTTGAAGGGCACATTACAATTGGGTGGACTAGAACCCTCAATCCTTCTGTTCAGGAGCCCTGGGCATACACCCTGTTCACCACCCCAAAGACTACTGCCAAAGTACAGAAAGTTACTATTTTATTTCTTTTTTGAAACTCCTTTTTGTTCATTTAGTCCCTTAGTAGTATTTTTATGAGCAAGAAAACGTCTCTAAAATTACCTGGTGCTTTAGGTGGAGGATGCAACTCGGTGGTTAAGAGATTTAGTGGTGGAGATACACAGTTTGAATCTTGACTCAGCTACCTATGCTGTGTGGGTTTCTAATATATAGTATGGGAAATATACTACAAAATCTTGTAATTTCAACAGTGTTCAGTTCTGTGACATTCATTACCTGTGTTCACCAAGTGCTATGTGGATGCTTAAGCCTTATTTTCCTCATGCATAAAATGGATATAGTTATTCTTTAAGACACACAACTATGTGCTTGTCACCTGTCAACACTGTAACAGACAGAAGGTGCACAGCAATGAAAGAAAAAAAACAACACAGTCCCTGCTTTCTCCAGAAGTGTACAACCATTAGGGCTTACTGTGACCATTCAATTCAATAATTCCAATACTCAGTACATATGAGACACAAAAACAGAAGGTTTGTAAAACAAAAGCCAGGCAATACAAAAAGGAGTACAGATCCACTTGAACTGTTGTGTTCCTAAAGAATACTGGACGTCCAAATGGGTGGCCAGAAGAACAGATAAATCACTCCCAGAAGAAATACAGCCGGAATGCTCCTGAAATTGAAGATGGTGCAACCTTGGCTTACTTTGGGCAAGTCATCAGGGAAGATCAATCATGAAATCTAGAAAAAGATTTCATGTTTAGTAAAGAGTCCACAAGAAATGAGAAAAAGCCTCAAAGAGATGGATTGATATACTAGCCTTAAAATTTAACTCAAACATACTCACAATCATGAAGACAGCACAAGGCTGGTCAACATTTCATATTGTTATACCCTAAGGTGCACTTGATACAGGCCATGGTCTTTGCCATTACTTGCGATGCATCAGGGAACTGGACAATGACTAGGGATGATAGAAGGAGAGCTGATGTCTTTGAGTTGTGGTGCTGGAGAAGAGTATTGAATATATCATGGACTGCTAGGAGAACAAACGAGTTCGTCCTGGAGAGGGTGAAACTAGGCTGCTCCTTGGAGGCAAGGATTCTGAAGCTTCATCTGACATACTTTGGACATGTTGCAAGGAGGCACCAGTCCTTGGAGAGGGACGTCTACCCTTGGGAGGGTAGAGGGACGGCATAGGAGAAGAAGACCCTCGATGAGATGGATTGATTCTGTCACTGGGGTAATGGGGATAGACATGTCGGAGACAATGAGATTGGCACAGGATAGAGCAGGGTTTAGGGCTGTTGTACATAGGGTTGCTAGTGACTTGAAGGCACATAAACACAACAATACCTAAGGTCACCTGGTGGCCTAGTGGTAAGAATCTGCACTGCAATCCCGAAGACACAGAGTTTGAATGCACCAACTGCTCTGCAGAAGGATGGACAATCTCCTCCCATTTGATTAACTGCTGCAAACTCATTGGAGTCTCAACTTAATGGGTCGTTTCCAACTCAACGGTACACAACAACAACAACAACAAGGTCACTTTTAGTAGGAACTGACCTGTATGGAAGGCAGCTACAAACAACAACGTGGTGATTCTGCTCCCACTCTTCTCCAAAGAGGGGTAAGCGAAAGCAGTGGCTGAAGAGAGCAGTTGTTGTGGTTCTGGGTTGTTCGTGCTGACGAGTCGAGTACGACCCATAGCAACTCTATGAACAACAGATCTGAACCCTGTCCTATCCTGTGCCATCCTCACAATCTCCCACATACTTGAGTCCACTGCTACAGTGCTGTGTCGATCCAAGCGGTTAAGGGTCTGCGTCTCTTTCGCTGTCCCTCCACCTTCCCAAGCATGAGGTCCCTCTCCAAGGAGTAGCTTCTCCTAGCAACATGCCCTCAGTATGTGCGACAAGCTTTGTTATTTTTTGCCTCCAAGGAGCACTCAGGCAGCAACTTCTCCAAAACATAGCTGTTGTTCAGGGACAACATTAAAAAACTGCCCCAAGCTGCTCCCCTTGCCACCCTCTTTTCATGTTCGAATGCTTGGCGTTAGTAAGAATCTGGGCCAGATGATTCTTTGTTGTGGGAGGTTGTCCTGTGCCTTGTGGGGAGTTGTACAGCATTCTCAGTCTCTACCCATTAAGTGGCACTAGTACTCTTCCCTACCTCCAGGTGTGACAACTAAAACTGTCTCCAGATATTGCCAAATGTCCCCTGGGGGACAAAATCACTACCAGTGGAGAAGGACTGGTCTAGGGGGAAGAGAGTCAGAGGGTCACAACAAGTGAATCCTTCAGGAGCAAGTTGGGAACTGTAAAATATCCTCCAACTTTCTCCCGTCCTGATTATTTGAACCTGCTGGTAGACATCAGCCAAAATAGCAGGAAGTTCCTGCTGAGTAGGGAATGTCCCTTTCCCCGTGGTCAGTCTAAGGGCTACTGCAGAAAATTCCATTTTAGGATGGAAAGCGTACCCTCTCAAAAATGTCATGAGCTCCAGGCTGCATTTTAACATCTCCTCGTGGGCATTTCTTTTTCTTTCCATACCGAACATGATCTCCAATGTGGTTACAAGCTGCAAAATTTTGCCAGCCCTTTTAAATATTATACTTGGCATAGCATTTAAGAACTAAATAGATATTCCATCAAATGCAGGGAGACCCAAAACGAGAGGTGTTTGCAAGCCACGGGAAAATGAATTCTGTCTTGCCACAGAACTGCTTCTTCAGCTGCTGGTTAGGTTGGTTCAACTGTAGGCTTGCCCGTTGGGTGTAATAATCACCCTCCACACTCAACAAGTCGGAGCTTTGGTGGCCTAGTGGCAAGAAGCTGTGCTGCAATCCTGAAGGCACGTGGTTCAAGGTCACAAACCCCTTCACGGGAGAAGGATGGGCAATCTCCTGTGCAATTAACTGCCTCTGAAAACCTACTGGAGTGTCAGCTTTAAGTTGGCTCTGGCTCTACGGTAAACAACAGCAACCCTCAACAAGGGACATGGAAGATAGGGGTGAGATAAAAGTTATTTAACAAAAAAAAAACAACACGTATTCACACAGAAGATCTTTTAAGTGAAGAGAAATTATTAGATTGAAAGTTTCCACCATTTGCAGAACCTCTTTAAGCTGTACATTGTAAAATGCCAAGGGCGACCTCTGGAACTTAAAAGAGGCAGTTTTCATGACAAATAAAAAGGAAGGTATTACATTATCCAGTGGGAGAAAAAACCATATGATGTACAATCAAAAAAAGCAGTCCAAAGAGAAAATATACAAATATCCAAGATGCATTTAAATCCACAGGCCGTAGAGCTCTAGCAGGTTAAGGCTAGATGCTTAGGAGGGGTTCCCTGGGTAATATGGACAGGTAAGGGGCAGAAAGGTTGTAGGGCAGAGTTGACCAAGTGATGCTTTGGAAAAAAAGGCCTGGTGACCCACCTTAAAAAAAATCAGTCTTTGTAAAGCTCCTGGAGCACAGACCTGCTCTGACATTCAAGGGATTGCAGAGGGTCAAAATTGCCTCAGTGGCAATAATTTTTAAAAAGCGATGCTTGGCCTTTCACTTCCAGGTTGACCTCCAGGAGACCGACTAGAGCCATGGCAAAGAGTGAAGGAAGAAGAAGAAGACAGTAG